GAATTAGGGATTTCAACAAAAGAGGTAGTAAACGGCCTCCCTCTGCATGGATAAAGTGTCATGGATAAAGTGACGAGTCTGGGTTTGACAGGCTTATTCCCACCTTGGCTAATCATCTCTGCATTATCGCCCACCTGGCTTTGTGGCTGTTGTGGTCAGTGGCCTTTGAGCTCATTCTGGTTCACAGTGACCCCATTGTGTGTATGCAGAATAGAACTGCCCCACAGGGTGGGCAAGCTGTGAGCTTTGGGAAGTAGGTCACCAGGCCTTGCATCTGGGCTTCCTCGGGTGTGTTTGAACCACCAACCTTGTAGACACACACAGAAAACAACGTCAAGGAAATGGGGTATACTTATTTTCAAACTAAATGTTAATCACATTTTCAAATAATGTGTTCAACCTGGTCTCTAACTTTATGTAACGGCAAACATGAGTATAATAAATAAACTGCAGGCCACAGAGTCCAGGGACACGAGAAGTAGTGCCTGAGCTGGGCTTTCTGACCGTGGCTGGGGGCAGGCCGTCATATGTACAAGTACCGCAGCTTTGGGGAGGTCTCTGAAGGCCGAAGAAAAGAGCTGCCCGGCACACGTGTGGAGGATGTGACTAACATGCTGCTCTAAAGTCACTTCACCCGGACAGTCCTGCTCACCTGCAGGGACACCCCAAGGTCCCTGTCCCTGAAGATGTCGCCATTCACTGTGCACCAGGTTATGGCCAATGTTCCCTCTGTTTTGTAGTCGTTTGTTTTCTGATGTTTTCGTTGTATTTGTTTTCTACTGCCTTGTAACAAATTCACCAACTTGTTGGTGGTGCCATTGAGTCAGTGCAGAACCCCCCCGCCCTGCACCTCACAGTCACCGCTGAGTCCGAGCCCAGCATTGCAGCCAACTGGCAATCCATCTCACTGAGGGGCTTCCTCTGTGTCGCAGACTTTGTCCTTGTTAGATGCCGTCAAGTCGGTTCAGACTCAGCAGTGGAGCCCCGCCCGGACTTGCACGTCCTCAGTCTCCGCTGTGCTCACGCCCCCTGTTATGGTCACTGTGTCAGTCTGTCTCGTTGAGGGTCTTCCTTTCACTCACTGACACTGTCTTCCCAAACACGGTGTCCTGCATGGCCTGACCCCTCCTGATGACATGGCCCAAGTATGAGATGACGTCTCACCACCCTTTCTTCTAAGGCACCTGCTGGCTTCATTTCTTCCCAGACAGACTTGCAACTTGGTGGGTTTAAATAACAACCCCCCTCTTCTCTGTCTTCTCTGGGCCGCTCGGACCCGGGGCCGGCCTGTCCTCTTGCTCTCCCATCCCCCGCCCAGGGCCCTGGCACTAACTTTCAGAGCTACACACCTGCTCCTGTCCAGGAATCGAGCACAACCCCTAGGGACGGGAAGCGAGTGTTGTTGGGCCGTGTAACTCTCGAGGGAAGAGCGTAGGGGGTCCTGTCGCCTGCGGCTTCAGGGATCTTTGAGCTGCAGGGGCAGCAGTTACCCCTTGGTGGGCCTGCCATGGGTTTGGGGTAGCCCTGGCTGGGATACCCGCATGGGGAAGGCCAGTTGCTAGGGCTGTCAGTAGGTGGGGGAATTCTCCGGCTTCTCTGTGCACAGCTCAGACAATCCGATCGCCTGGTTGCTCTGGTGGCCTGCGAGAGAGCTTTGAGGTCTTCACCATCAGTTGAAATGTCTATGATTTTATCAGCCTCAGTGCTCTGCATCAGAGATGGATTGCCACTTTCTGCTTCTACAGATTATGAACAAAACACAGGAGTGCAGGAGTGCAGAAAGTATTTTAAAATGCTCTCAAGGAAACTTGCCCAACTTCCTGATAGATGTCCACTGAAAACTGGACATTATAACATTAATTTTATTAGCTCTCTGGGAGTAAGCTACATGATGTTGTGCACTGAAAATTACCCCAACGTTCTGGCCTTCTCTTTCCTGGATGAGCTTCAGAAGGAGTTCATTACTACGTATAACATGATGAAGACAAATACTGCTGTCAGAACATATGGTTTCATTGAATTTGATAACTTCATTCAGAGGACCAAGCAACGATACAATAATCCCAGATCTAAGTTAAAAAAAAATAAATAAAATAAATAAATAACACACACCCCCCCTGAACTCACAACTCTATGGGTCAGCGTCTGGGCACACCTTCACCTGGCTTCTCCGCTCAGAGGTGTGGGAGCAGGTGTGACCTGGCTAAGGGCCTCTAGAAGAATCTTACATTAAATGTGATGCCAAGAAGAGCCTGGGATGATGTGATACTGGGATGGTGTGACTCTGGGATGGTGTGACATTGAGAAGGTGTGACACTGGAATGGTGTGACACCTGGATTGTGTGACTCTGGGATGATGTGACGTTGAAATGGTGTGACACCGGGATGGTGTGACATTGAAATGGTATGACACCGGGATGGTGTGACACCTGGATTGTGTGACTCTGGGATGATGTGACGTTGAAATGGTGTGACACCAGGTTGGTGTGACGCTGGGATGATGTGACATTGAGATGGTGTGACACCTGGATTGTGTGATGCTGGGATGATGTGACATTGAAATGGTGTGACACTGGGATGGTGTGACCCCGGGTTGGTGTGACACCGGATGGTGTGATGCTGGGATGATATGACAGATCTATGTGGCCCACAGCCAGGGGCCTGTCTGCTCCCCCTGCTTCCGTCTGCTGGGCCACACAGCACTTGCTTCCTTGCCCTTAGAGCCTCCTGGTCCTTGACCTAAATCAGAACATCACGGACACACGTGTTGTCAGTTCACCGCGTGTTCACACTTGTTCATCTTTCCCATTTCGGTTGAATCACCCGTTAAGCCCGCAGGAGCTGCCTCTTGCCTCCGTTAGACAGCCAGTCACATCATCAGGTCTGAAAGGCCAGTGTGTGGTGTCACTTCCTGTCGTGTGGATGAATGCGATCTCCTCTGTGCCTGATGGGTTTGTAAGAAGCCGTTGCACATTTCGGCGCTGGCCCGGGGCCGTGGAGTTAATGCCTCATCGTATCTGCAGCCTGGTGCCTAACGAGGGGAGGGCGAGTTTCCTTTCGGTGGTGAGGTTTCACGGGTGTGTCCCTGCCTTCCTCCCCCAGCTCTGGGATCCCGCCACCGCCCCGACCTGGTGCCCAGCACCCCGTCGCTGTTTGAAGCTGCTTCCTTGGCAACCACCGCCTCGTCATCTTCCTTGTACGTCAGCGAGCATCCTGTACAGGACAGGGCGACGCTCTACTCCAACAGGTGAGCACCAGCGTGCCAGGGCGCCAACCAGGGCACCAAGGGGCCAGTGCACGGCTACGGCAGGCCTCCCCAGTGACAGCACGCTGTCTACAGTGACCTGGCTGTCCCTGTCACCTGCCTGGGGGTCACGGCCGGGACCTCGCTTGACCCTGACTTTGGCAGGCCACCCCACTGAGGGCACATGGTTCGCAGTGACCCGGCTGTCCCTGTCACCTGCCTGGGGGGTCATGTCTGGGGCCTCACTTGACCCTCACTGCAGCAGCGGGCCTGGGAGTGTTTCCTTTTCAGTCAGTCATTGCGTCGTAGACATTCTGCTCCTGGCTCTGAGGAAGAAGGCGACTCTCCTGGCATTTTGCTTTTTGTGACTCACAGGTTCCTTTTAAGCAGGACTGTTGTTGATACTGATTGCACAGAAGGCTGCGGAGGTATCTGACTGCGCTGTTCCTGTGCTTGTGACTAACTGGTCAGGGACAGGATAGTGGCGTTAGAGAGACGTGTGGCTTGTTCCTGGAGGCTGTGCCTGTGAGACCAGAGCAAGTGAAACATCTGGCGTGGGAAGAGATTCCAGATTATTTGAGGTCCTGGTAGCACGAGAGTTAAAATGTTAGTCATCGTTGACCCCACTCCTTTGACTTTGGCCAAAGCTGACTGATAAACGGGTGTGACTCTCCACTATAGCAACAAGAAAAACGTATTCTCATCCCCCTTAGAAAAGAAAGACACCTAGGAGAGCACTGGTGACCTTGTGGGAAGAAGCTGAGCTGCAGTCGCAAAGGCACACAGTTCAAATCCACCAGCTGCTCTGCAGGAGAAAGATGGGCAACCTTCTCCCGTGTGATTCGCTGCTTCTGAAAGCCTGCTGGGGGGTTAGCGTGGGTCGCTGCTATGAGGCAGCGGGCTTCCCGGCGTCTCCCAACAGAGGGTCTCGGATGCCTGGTGCTTCCCAGCCGCACGTGCAGCGGTGCCACCGTGTGAGCTGTGTTCTTTACAGCAAGGCAGCTGAGAGCCTCCTGAAGCCGGAGGCACAGAAACCCCACCCTGCTTTAGACTCACCAGAGCCCCTCTGTGGACCGAAGTCCTTAAAGGTAGAAAAAAATGAAGTGGTAGGTAGACAGACAAGTAGGCAGCCTCGCCAGGTCTGGAAAAGTGGAAAGAATAGCAGGATGAACCCCAAATCTTCGCGGGGTGCTCCATCTGGATGGCTCTGGCCTGAGAAGTAGCGATCAGGTGGGCTCCAGGCCGTCGTAGTTGGCACGCTGACCTCGCTGCCCACAGGCCAGCCTCTGCCCCGAGCTGCTCCACTTACCCGTCACTCCCCTTGCTTAGCCTCCTTGAGGAATTGAAAGTGACTCACAGGTTAGCTTGAGGGTTCAAATTTGTTTTATAAACAAATGGATTCAGCCACGGTGTTTTCTCTGGTGGCCCAGTTGTAAGGAATTGTGCTCCCATCCCAAAGGCAGGTGGTTCAAATCCACCAGCTGCTCCATAGTAGAAAGATGGATAATCTTTTCCTATGTGATTTCCAGTCTCGTAAAACTGCTGGAGGATTCTGAGTCAGCCATGACTCAGCACCAATAAACTGAGCTGAGCTAAACGGTGTATCCGGGCCCATTTGTCTGTGTATAGAGTGCATTTGTCCTCGAGTCGAGGAGACCTGGGAGCTGTCTCGGTTCAGCTCCCATCCCCTAAAATAAAGTGACGATGCAGAAATGTTTCAGTTCCCAGTGCAGAGAAGGATGGTGCTGACACGCTAATGTGGTCTAGGAGGTGTGGGATAGCATGATGGGAAAGATGGAAATACTGTGGCGAGGACCCAAGAGGGGCTCAGAGATAGAAAGTGACCCAAGTGGGGGTCAGAAGTGCTGTTAGAAAAATGGTGTGGAAAGACTTGTTGGAAGCAAGGTTACTACAGACTTCCAGTTTGTTAAAAAATAAAAGTATCTGTGAGTTGCAACTAAGTAAAGCACAGTAAAAAGAAGTCTGGCATGTGGTTTTGGTGAGAACCGGCATTCCGGCCCACCTGAACCAGCAGCCACGCCATGGAGTTGTAGCTGCAGAACTTGTGTTGGCAGAGGTTTTGGGGGGGTGTTTTCAGCACAATAAAAAACAAAAGAGAAAGAGAAAGGGAAAGTAAAAGCAAGCCAGAAATTACAGGAAACTCTCGGCAAGGTCAAAGCCGTCCCTGTTGAAGCGCGGTGACTTCCACGTTGGTGTCTGTCCTGGTTAGCAGGGCTTGTCACTGGCTGCTGCTCCGTGATCTGGCGAGCGGCTCAGGACAGAAGTGGAAGGGTTTGAACTTTCCCATGTTGGGGCCTCTTGTTACCAAGTACCCAGTCTCTTGCCTGGGATGTCTGTGAAGTCTTGGACCTTCTGTTTCCTCCAGGGAATGGCCCTGATGTCCACCGATGACTCTGCCCAGCCTGGCTGCTTGCCCGCTCCCGGGCTGTGTTCTAACTGTACATTTACTTACATTGGTCCTGACATTCTAGTGATGCAGTGGTTAAGCACTTGTGTGGTGGTTCCAACCCAGCAGCAACACTGTGGGAGAAAAGCCCCGGCAAGCCACGCCCTAAAGGTTTACAGCCTTAGAAATGCTGAGAGGTGGTCCCTCTCTGTCACATAGGGCGCCGTGGGTTAGAACTGTGTCAGCAGCACACAGTGACGTCTGGTAGCTTGTGTTCGGATGCGGTAAGGCACGTTACTGTGATCTTCTCCCTGCCCCCTTTTGAAGAGATTTGTGGGAAACAGCCCTCCTCTTAACATTCTACCTCCAAGCTGCAGTTTTGTGGCTTAAGTGTAATTGCTATTTGGGGTTCCACTGCAGGAAGCCGCTTTGTCTTGAACAGAAAAGATTCCAAACAGGGCCGGTGCCTCCAGAAACTGGGGAGAGAGCTGCACTACAATCCCAAAGGCACAGAGTTCAAATCCACCAGCTGCTCCACAGGAGAAAGCTGGGCAGTCGCCTCCTGTGTGGTTCACTGCCTCTGAAAACCCTCTGGGGCGTCAGCTATGGGTCGGTTCCGACTTGATGGTACAGAGACTGGCAAGGCTGGAGGATGGGACCAAGGACTGGAGCTCAAGAAATTCCTTGTGAAATACACAGCCCGTGCCACCAGACACGGCCCAGAAGGAGGCATTGCAGTTAGCCCCAAATATGCACCCAAAACCCCACAGCATTTAAAAATCTAGCCGTTCCACAAAAATGCACTTTCAGCACTAGTTTCTGTTAGTTCTGGCTGAGGGTGTCCACACGTGTGTCAGAGCAGAGATGAGGCCCTCAGGGTTTTCAAGGCTGGTTCCTGGCAATAGGTCCCCAGGCCTTCCGAGTCACCTCTGGGTGGGCTGGAACCCCCAGCCTCCCAGTTAGCACCGCATGCAGTCAGCGCTTGTACTGACCAGGGACTCCAGGCCTCTGACAGCATCCGGAGGGAGGAAGTCTGTGGAGGCTCCCACCTCATCTGTGCTGGTGCCCGGGGCTCAGGCGGCATTTCTGCTCCCAGCTCTGAAGTGAGAGAGAAGGGAGAGACCTGGTGGGACGACTGCCTCAGGGGAATCCTGGGGGAGAGCCGAGAAAGGCTGAGGAGCCCAGGGGAGAGGGCTCAGCTCTCCCCCAGAAGGCCCTGCTCTGTTCCTCCTGCTCCGCAGGCCCAGCCCCAGTCACTCTCACCTCCAAATCAGAAAACAACCTCCAGCGTTTTGTTTCTGTCACTAGCGCCATCCCCGTCCTGCGTGATGCTCCCAGAGCATGAATAGACAACATGGTAAGTCTTGTCTTAAAACCCAGTCTCAGTGGCCTGGGAAGAAAATTGATCCCTGATATTATAATTAACACAGGAAAGTCCGCGCCGTCTTTATCTGTGACTCCTTTTCTTTTGGGGCGGAGTGGCAGTTTGCCCCTTTGGACGTTTCTCTCTGGGCATCGTGCTGGGACAGCCTGTGGACAGTCCTTAGCAGCGGTCCTTCCACTCCCCCTTCTCGGAATTCTCCCCTTTCAGGGTGTCAGGCAGCTCTGGGTGACTCAACACGGGACTGACGTGCTGAATCGTACACGACTGCCTCCCAGGGTCACTGTTTTTAGAAAGGCCTTTGTAACTTTACAATTTCTACAGCAACCCATTCATGATTTCATTTTTTTTAAGAATTTTATTATTTTTGTTTGTGTGTACTGTTAAATGGGACCTGACTGGTACAGGAGGAGATTGTCCCTCCTTCTCCAGCAGAGCATCTAGTGGATTCGAACTGCATACCTCTGGGATTGCAGTGCAGCTTCTTGCCACTAGACCACCAGAACTACCCTCCATTCATGATTTTTAATGTCCTCAGGAAATGGACTGCAGAGTAAAGAAAAATAATAGTATCTTTTTAAATTTTATTTTAATAATTTTAATGAAAATTTACAGAGCTTTTGGATTTCCATTCATTCATTGTTGCCCTTTTCTCCCTGCCCACCACTCCCCTCCAGTTTGCTCTTCTCTTTGAGAAGAAAAAAAAATTCCTTCATTGGTATACAATCCCCCCATTCTCCTCTCGCCCCCCGCCCCGAGTACACCCCACTATGCAACCTTCATTCTTTAAAAAAAATGTGTTGAACAAGACATAACAAAACATAGCTGACCTCGGCAGTGTCTCCACAATGCTGACGACATCCTTCAAACTCTGCTGTCGCCTCCACTGTCCTTTAATAAGCCTTCACATCCTTTTACACAAACAGGGTGCAAACGGCCTCCTCCCTCCGTACGCTCACCCACCAAGCCCACTGTGGGGAAGCTGTGAACCCCTCATTGCTCAGCCCCGCCCCCAAGGGACAGAGGAGCCCTTCCCTGCAGGGTTCAGAGGCTGTGAGTCTTCACGGAAGGAGATGCCACATCTTCCTCCCAGAGTGGCTGGTAGTTTCCACCTGCCACCCACTGGGTTATCAGCCAAATGCCTCACCCACTGCACCACCAGGCCTCCTCTTCCACCCCTTGTTGTTGTTCAGTGTCCTCCAGTCAGATCCACCCACAC